TTGTGCGTGTACCGTGGCCTGAAGGTCGTAAGTCCCCACAAGTCACGAGTTCAAATCCCCCCGTGGGTAGGGTGTGGTAGTCGAATATTTAGCACACCTAGGGAAGGTCAATTAATTTTTAACAATAATGACTATTATCAAGACATTTGATTTGTCTTAAAATAGGAACTTTGACCATTTATAACTGGACTGAAACCATTCTAATTATGATTAAACTCATTCTCAAGGTTGGTGATCACCACAGTTAAATGAAAGGTTCCACTAGATTAATGTCCCCAACCAACCACAGACTTCTTATATCTTTTGAAATATTTAATCAACGTTCTTAAGGCACATCAAATTATAATCATCTAACATGGCTATCTTTTGGCTTTTAGAAAAGGAAAAGTTATCAGCAATTCTAGAGGCTAATCATATTATCGCACAAAATAATATAGATAATGTTTTGTTAAGCAGATGGAGACTCACCGAGCAAAAAACTGGGGAAGAACTAAACGAGGATCAATCTTCCTTGTCAATTAGAGTTCTGCTAACCAGCACGCCATCATCCCAATGCTCTGTCCACCTACGAAATCAAAATTTGAAATAAAAAAAGACATTATATGAGATAATATTATCAAGAAAGTATTAATGATGAATACCATTATATCGGCAAGTTATAGGAGGGAATGATTCTGACTAAGTTATTTAATTGGGGCATTCTTATGTATATACATATCTAATACCTAAACTTTGCCTTGTACATTTATACCACCAAAATCTTTCATATCGCCTCAAAAAGAAGACTATTTTAACTTTGAAAGGTGGCACATATGTAAAAATTGAAGTTTAGGTGTAAGATATGTAAATACATAAGAGGATTGAGTGTAAATCTTATTTTATTTTGTCGTTATGCTTGCAGTATGGTTATCAAAATCTGCAATGCTAATGAACTTGATCAAAAGTTCATGAAGCACTATGATGTCAGCTATGAATGACTGTAGCGTTCCAAAGTTAGACATTTAGCAGCTAGTTGCGTTTTGTAAAAATTGTAAACGACATTTTCTAATGATTATTATAGTTATTATTATTATTACTAAACTAACTTTTTGGTGCCATCTGAGTAACTATGATAAATTAGCGGGGACTGACGAGAATAAGAAGCAAGGAACTCAACAAAACTAGCAATCAAATTTAAGGAGCTCCACAGTCGAACTTCAAGATTTTAAAGGATTACTTTGCTAGGTTTTTAACTATATATATATATATATATATATATATATATATATTGTGCGTGTACCGTGGCCTGAAGGTCGTAAGTCCCCACAAGTCACGAGTTCAAATCCCCCCGTGGGTAGGGTGTGGTAGTCGAATATTTAGCACACCTAGGGAAGGTCAATTAATTTTTAACAATAATGACTATTATCAAGACATTTGATTTGTCTTAAAATAGGAACTTTGACCATTTATAACTGGACTGAAACCATTCTAATTATGATTAAACTCATTCTCAAGGTTGGTGATCACCACAGTTAAATGAAAGGTTCCACTAGATTAATGTCCCCAACCAACCACAGACTTCTTATATCTTTTGAAATATTTAATCAACGTTCTTAAGGCACATCAAATTATAATCATCTAACATGGCTATCTTTTGGCTTTTAGAAAAGGAAAAGTTATCAGCAATTCTAGAGGCTAATCATATTATCGCACAAAATAATATAGATAATGTTTTGTTAAGCAGATGGAGACTCACCGAGCAAAAAACTGGGGAAGAACTAAACGAGGATCAATCTTCCTTGTCAATTAGAGTTCTGCTAACCAGCACGCCATCATCCCAATGCTCTGTCCACCTACGAAATCAAAATTTGAAATAAAAAAAGACATTATATGAGATAATATTATCAAGAAAGTATTAATGATGAATACCATTATATCGGCAAGTTATAGGAGGGAATGATTCTGACTAAGTTATTTAATTGGGGCATTCTTATGTATATACATATCTAATACCTAAACTTTGCCTTGTACATTTATACCACCAAAATCTTTCATATCGCCTCAAAAAGAAGACTATTTTAACTTTGAAAGGTGGCACATATGTAAAAATTGAAGTTTAGGTGTAAGATATGTAAATACATAAGAGGATTGAGTGTAAATCTTATTTTATTTTGTCGTTATGCTTGCAGTATGGTTATCAAAATCTGCAATGCTAATGAACTTGATCAAAAGTTCATGAAGCACTATGATGTCAGCTATGAATGACTGTAGCGTTCCAAAGTTAGACATTTAGCAGCTAGTTGCGTTTTGTAAAAATTGTAAACGACATTTTCTAATGATTATTATAGTTATTATTATTATTACTAAACTAACTTTTTGGTGCCATCTGAGTAACTATGATAAATTAGCGGGGACTGACGAGAATAAGAAGCAAGGAACTCAACAAAACTAGCAATCAAATTTAAGGAGCTCCACAGTCGAACTTCAAGATTTTAAAGGATTACTTTGCTAGGTTTTTAATTTTTGGAAGATTTACATACATACCACTCAATTCTTTTGTATTTACAACTCTAACACTTAAAATTTCAATGTTCACATATATGCCACCTTATCTATGCATGAAAAAGTATATTTCACTTTGTAGAAGCTAAAATAGTCGTATTTTTTATGTGATATGAGAGATCTGGGTGGTATAAATGTAAAAAGTAAAGTTTAGGTGTTAGATATGCAAAAATATTAGAATTGGGTAACATTTATGTAGTAAATGCCCCTTAATTTTTTAATGGGACTAGTTATAGTTTTCCCTCCTAAAATGTATTAAGAGAGATGCCGGGGGGAATATAAAGTTAAAGTTACTAAAAGAATCTCAAGAACTTGAGATGTTAAAAACTCAGAGAGGGCCAGAGTAGAAAATTTGATGGAAAAAGCAACTAAACTAGTTCATGATAGAGAAAAGACCCATGATTCTAATAAGTCTCTTAGTTTGATTAAATTATGAAAATATAATATCAGCAACCGAAACACAATGTGCATTAAGCCTGAATTATTATTTATGTTGATTGAAATGTTTAAGGAAAATAGAAAAAAGTGTCAAAATAGTACACTGATGATTTGCAGGGGGTTATTTTAGTCCTAGAATTTATAAAAGTATCAATTTAGACCCTAGACACTTTTAATATAGTTTGAGTTAGTCCACAACGAAAATAATTTTAGCCCCCATTAAAATAGTACGACTGATTTAGCACTTTTATAAACTCTGGGTCTGAATGACTTTATGCAAATAATCATGGGACTATTTTGGCACTTACAATAAAAAAGTTAGCAGACTACGAGCATGCTTGAAAAGCTAATAGAAGAATAAGCAGAAAAATAAGAAGAATTTCTTCAGCCTCATATAGTATTCTTGGGTTGACATATTGATCCAGAAGTTAACCCAAATCATAATAGAAATGAAATATTATTGTTGAAATTCAAAAGGATGCAACAAATTCTCTTCAAAACAAGAAATAACAACAACTAACGTGACACCCTATGGCGGGGATGGTGGTGAGCGCCCGTTGGAAGTAGGTAGGGGTAAGTTGGGTAAGTTGGGGTTGCGGGTTTAGGTGTGTGGCCTGGGGAAGATGGAAGGCCGTGGTTGGAAGAAGGATGGAGGGAGACAAGAATATGGCAGCAGGTAGGGGCGTGGGGGAGGATTCAACGCAACAGGTGTGGAGGAATGATGGGTTGCAGTCAGCAGGTTGGAGTGGAGAGGTCCTGCGCTACAGGTTGTAAGGCAGCAGGTTGATGGCAGGTTCGGCAGGGAGGTTGGGGCGCGAGCAGGATAACAGCGACAAGGTAGAAGGGTTGCGAGGAAAGTGAAGGGAAGGTGAAAGGTATGGGGGTTGCAGTGGACAGTAGAATTGCTGTCTTTGGGACAAACTGCAGCAGGGACGGCGATGGCGGTGGCAACGGCGACGGCGATGAGGATGTCGGGGATAATGATCACTTAGGAGAGAGATATAACTGAAGCACCACTCTTCCTCCAATATAACCCTAGAAAAAAGGAGAACGCCGGACGCTGTCCAAACAGAAACACTCAGCCAAAATTAACCCTAAATAAAACAAAGAAACTATTTATAATAGTCGATAAGTAAGAAGGGAAAGGTCCCTCCCCTTGGGCGGTAAAACCAATCCCCTTGGATTGGCCAGCACAAGTAGCAGCAAGGCTGAACCAGTTATGTGCTCTCCAGCTTGTTAAGCCCTCCAAAGTCCCGCATCAATCTCCTAAGGTTGGTGGAGCTTCAAATTCATTCGTCGAAGCTTCTGGCTCTTCGTTTGAGACCCCATAAACTCATAGATCTCACTAAAGACTGTATTATCTCCCAAAGAACTTAAGAAGCCATCCCCATTTTCAAGCAATTACCATATCGGTCCAATGTTCTGCGAACCTCACTATTGATCTGGCTCGGGCTTGTGTGTCATGCATATACCGTTGAATCCTCCCAAAATAGCCCAAGGTTGGCTCAACCTGATCTGAAATGAGGATAACCTGAGCCTCCTTGAATGATGGTGGCCATGGTTTTAGTTTGTTTGAAATAAGTTCGTGTTCGAAATTGTTCGTGAAGTGAATGTTCATGTTTGTTTCTTAACAAACGAGCCGAACACGAGCCGTTCTCGAACGACGAGCCAATTTAATATTAATATATATAAATAATATATTATATTAAGTATATAACTTATATTATATAAATATATAATATATATATCAGCATATTACTAATATAGTATATTAATATACTATTATTATTATTTTACTATATATTATAATTTATAAAATTTAATTTTTTGAATATCATAAATTTTTTATATATAATTATTTTATATTTCGAACAATAACGATTCGAACACGAACGAACGCATCGCTGTTCGTGTTTGGTTCATTTAACTAACCGAACAAAAAAAATTTGTTCATGTTCGTCTCGTCTACTTATCGAACAAATCGAACACAAACTCATTGACGAACCGAACACGAATTGTTCGCGAACAACAAGCTTTTTTGACAGCCCTAGTCATGGTGGTAGGGTCTCGATTGTGATGTTCTAACATGCCTATCGTGACTGTCCCATGTCTAGAATCGCTGTCTCAATTCTATCATCCTTTGTCATCACCAAATCGGTGTTGTCGACGCTGCTTTGTTGGCAAGGGCTCCTGTGATCATGGGCTTTGTTAAAGGAAGAAGGATGATATGTTCTCATCCTTGGTGAAGGAGTAGGTGTTTCTAAATCCGTCTTTGAAACAAGATATTCCTCCAAAAGCTGAACTGGTTTAGCTCGAACTGGTTTGGTTGAAAGAAGAGACGGAACAGATTGAAAGAAGGGGCAGAACTGGCCTCTCCCCCCACGTCACCAGTCCCTCTTCATTAGGGGGAAATTTTTCCTCCCTGTTCTCATTTCCCAACTATCCTGCTTCTATTTACATGTTGTTTGTAATGTTAAGGTTCAGCTTATGTTGTATTTTCTGATTTCAATTGATGAGGCCAGCAGCCAGAGTCCTGTTTTACCCTCGAGGGTTGTATTCGACAGTTAGAGTGGAGCTCCGGTTGTATCCCTCTCCCCAATGGTGATTATCTACTCTCCATCCTCTTCCAATGCTCCTCCAATTACCAGTTTTCTTCTGCTAGTTGCTGGAAGGTTGCCCTAGACCGTGATCCAATAGAAATAGAAATATTATTGTCCTCACCCTAAGGATTACCCTAGACCGTGATCCAAAAGGTAAAAGGGTAGAAGAAAAAGATATGGAGATGAAGCGGAAAACATGTCAGTTCTGACCAACTTACTACCGTCAAAGGCTGCAGACGCTAGCTTCCAAAGTGGAGATACCACATCATCAAGAGAGTCCCGCTTGCTACCATTCAACAAAACCAATCCGTAAGTTTGACACAGCCAGAAAATATTGCAAGTGCCATAGCTTTTAGACATGTAGAAGCAGAAAGCACAACCAAGGGAGTGATCTACTTTACTGAGCATGGTGTCATCTAAAAGTTGGGTAAAGACACCACCACAAGCACTCAAAATGTTGAAAAACAAGGAGAACCCGCTTTCATTTGACGAGGATAATATACATTTAGTCACAGTAAAGACACCCCCAGCCCCCCAACTTGCTCCTTTCTTCCAGTGATCGCCAACAACCTCCGCCATAGTGCCTTCGAACTTTCCCAGATCTGATGTCAACTCCTCCAAACATAACAACCAGCCCCTCAACTACTTGCTCCTGCTTTCTAGTGCTGTCAGAACCCCCTTCTAACCCTCCCTTGCCCTCACAACCACCTCCACTCAGACTCTTACTTGCTGCCAGCCGCAATCGCCAACTCTCGTCCTCATCCTAAGGCGTCTTTTGTGTTTATTGGATGTTTTCCAATCGACGCCACGTCAAAGATTACGGCTGTGAATGCTTTTGAGTCACGAGACTCGATTTTTTCATCATCCGTGTAGATGTCACATCCTTACTATTCTCTACATCGATGATGGGACTGCATGCATTCTTTTTTATAGTGCAACGAGTGTAAAATATATTGTGACAAAGCCATTGCAAATCCCTCGTATACTTGATCTGTAAGACCCATCGAACCACGAGCATCGAACCTTCATCTAGTGGAAGATGATACAACTCACCCTGTTCCTTAGTTGTCTCCTTGCCGCTAACCTCCTCAACGAAATCTGTGGCACAAACATTTTTAGGCGGGGACTGTAGTAGGCCCGCTACTCTTCTTAGACTTCTCACTAAGAGTGGCTCTATCCTTATCCGAACCAATTTCTCAACTTTCTGAGGCATGCTCCTGCTAGTGTCACCAACTGTGGGTGGCTATTTGATTGGTGGTGGTTGTTAGCTCTATTTCTACTGTCTTTCCACTTTCAATGTTGAGGTATTGACATCTCCAATTAACCAATAAGGTTGTAGCTGCATCAGATTACTAATAGCGGGCTTCAGACCCGCCAGAAAACGGGCTATGGCTGTTATCCTAGCTCGACGAAATCATACTTCATTTGCAACTGGTCAAATTGCGTTGTGCAACTCTTCCATTTATAGGTTCCTCTATTTTAGGTTGTGGAGTCTCAGAAACATATCCTAGCGATAGTGAGGAGGTGAGTATTTTCTCTACATCGTCTTCCGCAACTTCTACCACTTGGTAATCTTGTCATTATCTTCACTTTCTTTGTCTCAGCAAGTTCTCTCATCATAAGAAGACACGCTTCTCAATTTGATAGTTGCAAGTTTCACCCTTTTATCTTTTGGCAACTCTTTGTACTCGGAGACCTGCTTAACTGATTGTTGCAATTAGATAAAGTTGTCTAGATCCATATATCCATTAAACTTGGGTAGATCCAACTTTATTTCGAAGTCAACGTGCTCCAAAGGTGGCCTCCTCTCTCGGTATTCTCTGATATTGGATTCCAAAGTACCATGGCCTTTTTTTCTTCATCACTAAAACCCTGCCTATGAAAGAGGTTGAAATTCTCGTCTCTTTCGTCCCTTTAACTTTCCGTGTTACCATCGAGGGTAAGTCCCCCCTGGGTTTCATCCTCAATATCTGCAAGCCTCCATTGAAATTGATGAATATCTCATTGTATCACTTCCAAGGTAGGCTCAGGCATGTATCTCCTTGGTGGCATGGCTAGGTGAAAGAGTATGCAAAACATTGATTTAGAGTTGTTGATTTTCAAAATCAACATGAGAAATTGAAAATCAACATGAGAAATTAGGGTTAGGTCAAAGTTTGGCTATGATTTGGGAATAGAAAAGGAAATTTTTGGAGGGGGTAAGGCGGATGCAACAGGTACAGCGACGGCGACAATGAGGAGATTGTAGGTGAGGTGGAGGTCGAGGATAATCATCACCTTGGAGCAAGGTATAGCAGAAACGCCACTCGTTCTCGAAAACAACTCTAAAAGGAAAAAAAGGAGAAGTCAGCAGTTGTCGAAACAGAAACACTCAACAAAAACTAACCCTAAACAAAGGAAATGACCTATTTATAATAGTACATAAGTACGGAGGGGGAGGCCCCTACTCTTGGGCTGTAAAACTAGTCCCCTTGTATTGGTTGGCCCAAGCAGCAGCAAGGCTGAAACAGTTTTGTGCTCTCTAGCCAGTTCAACCTTCCAAAGCCCCGCATCACATATCTTAACTCAATTTGCAGGAAACACTCGTAAAAAATGTATCATTGCATGTGAAACTCCTTGGTTTCAAAACCATGGAAACACCCTTGCACTGGTAGAGACGTTCGTTGAATTCTATGTGATTCATAATGATACTGTATAGAATAGACCATAAAATTGGGGTGATTTGGAATTACCAAATGAGTTAAAACATGTTTTCTACTACTGCATTAGTAATTAATACCTTGCTCCATTGGCCTCAATGCACATACTTTGGCCATGACGCCAGCCATCACGAAAAAAACCAAAAAAGACGCTTCCATTCTTTGAAAAAAATCTCCCCTCTCCATTTGCCTTGCCTCTCCAAAAGTTTGCAAACAACCTATCACCAGTATGAAAATAGAACCAACCCTGTCCAAGCATAATTAATATATATATTATTCACAAGGTAAACATAAAAAAAAAAAATTGTAAACAAACAAAAATGCTTTGTTAGAAGTATCAAAATGATACACATTCATGAAGACAAGTTCTAGCTTGAATAAAATAAAATAAAATAATATTCAGACAAGAAAAAGTTGAAGAAAAGATTTAAATATGGGATATTAACATTTTAAAGCAAAATTGAACTGTAAAATTGAAACATCCAAAAATGTTTTTCCAAAGCAGAGTAAACCCCCAATTCATGCCTAGCGAAGTAGCCAGGGCTTTACATTGCCACAACCGCTACGGTACAGTTTTCTCCAGTGGCTGATTTACTTCAACTAGAGCAACTGTTGGTATTTCTTTAAATTCTTAAATTGGATGGATTCTGACGTTTTTGGCTTCTTAATGGGAAGCCACTACTTGGGACAGTTCGCTGTTGTCTGAAACGTGCAGTTTCATGCATTAGCGGTAACACTACCCAGTCCAATTAAAGAGCACATGTGGTCCCCAGACCTACTATTTACCACTCTTATAACCAACTAAGGTATTTCTAGAACTTTCACTTTTATATCTTCTATCTCATAGGAACAAGGGAGATCATCTGTAATTTGGTTTTCTGCTCTCTCTCAATGAGAACTGGAACCTCTTCTTCCAGTCTCTATGGTATCAGAGCTTCTTCCTGGGAAAGAAGCCCTCTCACTATAAGCAAGTGTCTAACCCTAAAATCCAATTCACTACTACAATGGTTAAGAACTCAAAGTTGCTCCATGTTTGATCTATTACTGCCATTTTTGGTTACTGTTATTTTTGCTTACTGCTCTTTTAGAATTGTTAGGATTTCATTCTTGCATTTAGATCACTTTTTCAGTGTAAAGTAAACTAGAATTTCCTATATAAAATTTTTTTTATTGACAACTATGCCCATGAAATCGATATTGAGACTCTTTATTTGTATTTTACTTGATCGACATATATACTTGGGTGATTTACCTCATAGCAGATTTCGAAAATCAAGTAGAAGGAAGGATGACAACCTCACTACAAAGCCATGTTACCCCACAAAAGACTCAAGGTCCTCTCTGGGATTGCCTCTAACACCCTAAACAGACTAGAAAAAACCATCTAAGTGTATAACTTATATGCTTGGTCGGTCGGGTTGAGAAGTGAGAACACATTCCCTTGAAACATGCAATATGTATGCAACGAGCTAAGAAATTTTATGCGTAGAGGCTCATTATTATGCAAAGGGATAAAACCATGCAGTTATGACCATTTTAAATGTGACATGAAGGATATGCAGGAAAGAAAATGCAGTAAGTAAAAGTACATAAAAAAAATCACAGAAAGAGAATCGACCTTCAAAACAAATGTTAACGCATGCAATGAAATAAGCCCATGTCCATTCGCAAAAGAGCTAAGAAGCATCTATATAAGAATCATTAGTTTAATATATAAATTAAGCTCATCATTATTGGACCTGGTTCCCTGCAAGAAGAACGCCGAAAATATACTAGTGCAGAAGTTTCAAACTCGATCAACACACGAAGCATCACAAAAATTTAATGGCTGATAAACAAGTTATAACAATAGATAAGTATATAAAAATCCTAGCTACACCCCATCCCTAATTTTAAACAAACATCGACAGAGTGTTGCCTACACATAAATTTGAGTGACGGTAGTACAATGTGGGGTAACCAAGCTAGATCCATCTCAGGCATATGAAACACTCGTCACAACAAATGACGCACGCTAACCCAAACCTCTGCTTGGAACAATCCTACAATATCTAATAGTGATATGATAATTCACATTATCCAACTGAATAAACTAGAAAATAATGCTCATTTTTTACTATCACCATAGGTAAGCCTATGGATAGTTGAAGCATGGGCGCTAACATGCTAACTTATGCAGCCTAGGCCTATAGAAAAAAAAAAGGTGTTTCACTTGGACAGAGTAAAACACCCAATGCATTAAAATGCACAATAAGCAAATCCAATATATCGGAAATTAAACACCAAAAACAAGCTATAATAAGATTGTTAGATATGAACGATGTAGCAAATGCATCATACAAGTGATGAATGCAGCAAATGCACACACAATCAAACACAAAATGTGTAGTATGACCCTGAATCAAAAGGGTGAAGGCATGTAGACAATCTCGGGTACCCACCTATTCCAGAAAAGAGTAGGAACGACAGTGACAAAACTTATGACATGTGATAAATTCATAACAAACATGCAACACAACATATGTGAAATGACATGCAAAAGATAAGTCAAAACAACTCCAAATATGCATGCAAATGAAAATGCATAATGCAAATAGATGCAATAGACAGATCAAAGGGAAGATGTTGCAATGTCAACAAGAGACAACTACAACACATCACCTTTAATACTCAGATCAATGCAAGGACCGTATTGACAGTCTAAAACCCCATATACAGACATCTACTCCTAGTGGCAGGTCCTCGATATTTTCCTACTCGCCTCACTAGGTGGTTTGAATGAGTAAACACAAAAAAAATATGTGAAATGTACTTATAACTACCCAATTAGTAATGATGAAATTGTTATAAGTCCGGCTAATTAGTCGGAACGAAGAATTGCCAACCATGAAGAAGGGTGTACTAACGGTTTGGGAGGGATAGTCGCAGATTGACGATCTATAAAGATCGGCGACCTGATTGTTCGGAACAGCTGAACCAAAACTAAAGAAATACTCGAAAAAGCTAAACAAAAGGGGGCTGCCACCCATATAAAAAGAGTATACCAAAGACCCGTGAGTAAAAACAAAAAAGCTCGCCTTGGCCTATAAAGATTAAGGAGCCAATAAATATTCGATTAAGTTGAATCTGACAAATCAGCAGAGTGAACCGCAGTAGTTATACTGTAGCAAAAGCGGTGCACCTATTACACGTCCTCTAGAAAGGAAAACTTAGGTTGGCCTGAGCGAAGCAACACTATGGTGCTACACCCAAAGGTTCCCAAGACCTAGGGCCTCAAAATCGAGATCGAATTGAGATTTAAGATCGAGTTAGGCAACGATGCTAAAAGCATAGTAGTAGCCTTTCGATCAAAAAGCGGGGTAAGGCTACCCCGCGACGCTATGCTAACCCAAGATAAGATGACATCATAGCATCGTGGAAATGACACCAACAAACTATTTGAATGGGGTACGACACCCGGATGCTAGAAAGTAGCGCCCAAGCATCAGACCTAAAATAAAGATATGGCACAACGCTGCCCAAAGACAACGCCTTAGCGCCAAGGGAAAAATAGAGGGTTTAACCACTCAGTACACTTGAGAAAGCGAGAAAAATAGGTTAAGAACTTATTCTAGAAGCCTCCTCTAACAACAATCTAAACCCAGCCTCTAACACAAATACTAGGAATTCTAAGATAGAGAGAAAAAACATTAAAGCTTAAAGAAATCTCACTTGTTTGAAGGATAACGAAGTCCCGCTGCTCAGAAGCTCCAGCAAATGGCTCCTCGAACTTCTTTAGTTGTGAAAAGAACCACCTTCAATGATGAAAACTCTACCAAAACAAGAAGGGCTTGAAGATGAGGTGTGGAGGGAAGCTCGCACAACAAAAGTTCGAAGTGATTTTGGAAAGGTGTGGAGGGACACTTACACACCAAAAACCTTCAGAAGAAGACGTACCACATCAAAAATGAGGAAAGGGGGAAGTTCACACTATCAAAATGGGGAAGGATAGAAGCTCCAACATCAAGATGGAGATAAACTCTCAATTTACACCCTTAGAAGCTTAAGGGTGCGGTTGGAATCAAAATTTTCAACTGCAAACCAAAGCTGCCCCCTTAAAGGAAAAAATTGAATTTGGGGACGCGAAACTTTTTACGGCACCAGAAGCCATGACGTGGCACTGAAACCCATCCAATCAGACCGCGCTCTCAGGAAGACAATTATGACTTTTTGACACGACGCCGCTACATCTTATTGTGCCTCCACATGACCTTTGTCTTTGAATTACCATTCCAAAATTAGGTCATAATAGAGAGTCCGAGCTCTTGGTGCAAGTTATGGAAATTTTTGAGGTGTTTTTAGTGAAGTTCTAGCATAAAAATGAGCTAAAATTGCCAAATTTGCATACTTGTCATAAAATACGAGAAAGGTGAGTCGCATGATGCTCGAACAAGATATGACAAAAAAGACATGCTAAAAATGATATCACTACAGTATTAGACATAGAAGGCAATAACGCTTGAACTCTTAGCCAAAAGGGCCCAAGACTAAAAGCAAGAAATGGATTTGGATCTCTATATCAGATGCTTTAAGATCTAGTGAGGCCACAATGTTGAGAACGGCATGGAGGCCTTTTCGCCAAAAAACATGGTATATCACAGTGGTGGAAATGACGCTGCAAAGCTATTTTAAAGGGTTTTGACGTCTAGCTGCTAGAAACTGGCACCTAAGCTTCAAACCCAAAATAGGGATATGGCATGACGGTGCCCAAAGGGAATGGCGCAGTACCAAGGGAAAAATACAAAGGTTTAACCACTCGGTACACTCGAGAAAGCGAGGGAAATAGGTAAAAAAACCTATGCTAGAATCCTCCTCTAACAGCAGCCTAAACCTAGCCTCTAACACAGCGCCTGGGAGATCTAAGAAGAGGGAAAAACACTAAGGCTTAAAGAAACCTCACATACATGAAGGTTGATGAAGTCCCTCTTCCCAAAAGCTCTATAAATGGCTTTTCAAACTCCTTTAATTGTGAAAAGCACCATTTTCGATGATGGAAATTCTACCAAAACAAGAAGGGCTCAAAGATGACGTGTGCAGGGAAGATCAAACCCAAAAGTTCGAAACGATTATAGAAAGGAGGTGTGAGGGACACCCACACACCAAAAACATCAAGGAGAAGACTCACCACATCAAAATGGGGAATGAGAGAAGCTCACACCATCAAAATGGAGATAAATTTTCCATTTACAGCTTTAGGAGCTCAAGGGTGTAGATGGAATCAAAATTCTCAAGCCTAGGTGTAGCCTAAGTTGCACTTTCAAGGAAAAAAATTAGGATTTGGCGTCGTGACACCGTTTAAAGCGCCCGACTCCATTGACGTGACACTGACACCCATTCAATCAAACAATGCTCTTAGGAAGACAAATGTAACCCTTGACGCCACACCACAAACACCATATTATGCCTCAGTCATGACCTCTATTTTTTTACTACCTCTCTGAAATGGGGTCATAATAGAGAATCAAATGTCTAGGTGCAAATTTATGGCAACTTCTGAGGTGTTTTCAATCAAATACAAGCATAAAAACGAGCAAAAAATTACCAACTTTGCATTTACGCTCATACGAGCTCGAGGGTGCGGCTGGAATCAAAATTCTCAGCCCTAGGTGCAGCCAAAGCTGCCCCTTTAAACAAAAAAAATTAGGAATTGGTGTCGCGACACCGTTTAAGTCACCCGACACCGTTGACGTGACATTAACACCCATTCAATCACACAACGTTCATGGAAAGACAATTTTGACTTATGATGTGGCACCGCAACACCATATGATGCCTCTGCCCAACCTTCGTCTTTCTACAGCTTTTCCGGAGTGGGGTTACAATAGAGAATTGCATGTATGGGTGCAAAGTAATGGCAATTTCTAAGGCGTTTTAAGTGAAGTGTTGACATAAAAACGAGCTTAAAATCACCACATTCACATGCTTGTCATAAAATGTGAGAAAGACATGATATGACAATAACAAAATGCCAAAATTGATGCTTACATTCATCTTGTCGGGGGTCTAAACCCTAACCGACACCACCTACACCCAAGTTCCAACTCTAGTTCTAATGTTGAGTTGTAATTTCAAACTTTGTAAATCAATGAAAGCATTTGTTTTCCCTTGGGAGTTTGTTAAAACCCGGTATCAATTTGCAAACTGGATTTCTATTTATGTTTATTTTTGTCGTGTTTTAGTTTCTTCTAAATTTTTTTACAAAATTTCAGATTTTAGGGGATCTTTAAAAGTATCTTTTGGAACTATTTTACAGATTTTTTATTCGCATCATAAAAAATTAAAATTTATATAAACTAAGAATCAGGACTGTGAATTTCGATATGTCGTACATCTCATCTTAAACTTGCAACATTAAACCTTACATCTCGCATCACTTTATAATGAGTTGCATGCCTTATTAATCAGTATTGTACATACAAACGTGTGTGTATATATGTATGTATATGTATGTATGTATGCATGCATGCATGCATGTATGAATATGGAAGATAGTTGAGGTAATTAAAATAAGAGAAATGAACATAAATACCACAATTCTTATGAATTCGCATAAAAATCGCCAAATTTGCATACTTGTCATAACATGTGAGAAAGACAAGATGTGACAAAAAAACATGCTAAAAATGATGCTAACATTCATCTTGTCGGGGGTTCAAACCCTAACGACACCACCGCATCCGTCCATTCGTCCGTGTGTGTGTGCAGTCTTCAAATGGCGGAAGAGAGCTCTGCTAGGGTTTCAAATGTTTTCAATGACGATTTCCGTCGCCATTGATTCTGTCACTCGAAGGATTCCTCATCCGCTTCCACTCGCTTTTCTGCTTCGTCGGCTTGCGTCCTTCTTCGACACCGAAGGTTCATTTGCGTCTCTCGATTTCGACGACGACGCGTTCGCGTCTGCTCGACGAGTCCAGCCGTTCGCTTCGATTTCAAGGACGACATCCAACCGCACCCATCTGTGCAGTTTTCCTGCCAAACAGCTTCGGTTCGGATCTGCTTCTTTCTGTTCGACAACAAAGTTGTCTTTCTGTTCTTCGCCGACAACAATTCCTTTGAGATCCTCTAACAGGTGGACTTCGTACTATCATGGCGCTCTCTTCTTCTTCATTTGAACCTGTCAAAGCCTCCTTTGCCACGTGGTGGGTAAGGTGGTTGTCTTCCCTTCAAGTTATAAGGATTGTCGTGATTGTACAAGTGACTGCCCCTTTGTTAAGAATGCAAATAGGAAAAGTGAGAAAACAACATTTTTTTCTCTAAGTTAGAAATTTCTACCCTCGCTGAGAAATTCAAATTTGCTCTCATTGGAAAATTTTAGTAGGGGCACCCAACAATGAAAGTTATCAGAAAAAGTTTTGATGACCTCAAACTAGCAGGAAAGAGGAAAGTGGGGTGTTGATCCAATTAACTATGGCTGAAGAATACACACGAATTTCTCCAAAAAATATATTACCATTGCATGCAAGTCAATGAAGTTACTCGAGTGATCTCCCAATTTCGACCCTAATCATGAATCTCCTACCGTACCGGTCTGGTTTAGTGTATCTGGTCTCAAGCTCCACTTTTTTCATTATCAAGCTCTTTACTCTATTGGGGCAATACTTGGGGATCCTATGAAGCTAGATCTACGATCTACCCACTTTCTAGATCTACCCACTTTCAACCTAACCAGACCTTTTGTGGCCAGAATACTTGTAGATAGAGATATTAGTTTACCTGATGTTACTGAAATCTGGCTGGGCACAACTCATAATGGATATTGACAAAAAATTGTCATGGAACACATACCTCCATTTTGTACCCACTGTAAGATGTTTGGGCATATCCCTGATAAATGCCACAAGCTCCATCCTAATTTGAAATCTAAGGTTCAAGTGGATAAGGATGTGTCTAACCCCATTGCTCCAGATATTTCAGTTCCACCTAAGGAGGATAATGTCAGATAGGTGGTGTATGTTGCCCCTGTGGACCTCCCCTGACATTGCTATTATTGTTACTGCGATTGATGTGATGCTCGCACCTTCAAGCCCCATAAAAAAACAATATTGAAGAACTTTTACCTACAAAGAATAGTGTTCAGACTGATAATCAAGAGAACCTCGCAGCTCCTCATCTTCTAGAAGGATCCGGTGTAGAGGAAACTCATATTTCACATATCCTAGAACCTATTGTGGGTACTACAGTTGGTAATCCTTCTGCTACAGCTTTACCACCTCAACAGACTGACTCTATGAATGAAGAATGACAGGTTTACCCTTCTAGGAGGAAGAATATGAATGGAGATCTACTCGAGCTCAGGAGTCTTATGAATGATAATTTGGTTGTTTCGGGTAATGATATGCACCTTACCAATTTGTTAGTCGGATCCCTTCCGAGAACTAGAAACAGATGAAGAACTAAATTGGGAAGACCCTTAGCGCCATGGTGGTTTTTAGTTTTTTTTATTATTTTTATATGTACCCATTTTGACTTTTTTGTGTTGTACCATGTGGGTTGGGTGCCTATTTTTTGGCTCACTCATACAACCTATCATAAGTGTGGGATATATATATATATATATATATATAAATATAATTTACATGAATATGGAAGATAGTTGAGGTAATTAAAATAAGAGAAATTAAAATACATACCACACAATTCTTATGAATTTACATATCTAACAATCAAAGTTTGATGTTTACCCTTGTAACAAGTCATAAAGCTATAATTAAACGGTGCATTACACTTTTAAAAAGATAGTGATGATGACATTTTGAAGTAATGTTAAAGATTTGAATGGTATGCATGTAAATATGAAAGTTTAGGTGTTAGATGTGAAAATATATATGAATTATGTGTTATCTATGGATATGTCCCTTAAAATAAAAATGGGTGAAGTCTTTATGAAAGATTATACCTTTCCATGCATAAGATCATCTCTCCATGACCCCCGAAAAAGGTCTCCATTACTATAGCAGTAAGTACCAAGTCCTGACCTCTTTCCACTCTTCCAAAAGCCATCATAAAAGCTTCCATCCATTGAGGTTAGCCGACCCTAGAATTTTAATGCATCAATGGATCTGATTATAGCAACATAATGACTTCTTATCAGCACATCTTAGCTTCATAAAATAATACTTCTAATTGTATCATATTTCAATTTTTCAGTAAAATTATACCTTCCCAACAGGAAGACCACTTTGACATCTTCCCCTGTAAATTCCTCCTCTATATTGGATTTCCACAACAGGATTCCAACTTTTCATCGATTCCCTTTCTGCTTCCTGAATTTCATAGTTCGTTAAAATATTAAAAGAAATAAAGGAAATAAGAAGATGAAACAAACGCCTAAAAAATATAAGCAAAAAATAAAGATAAGTATCAGAGAATTCCGTCTCCAAGATAGACCTTTTTTTTATGAAAATGCAATAGAATTCAATGCAAATTATAAGAATATTTAAAAAAGTATAACTGTTAAGAAAGGCTCTAACACAAGAAATATATTACAATTTGTATAAATTACAATTTGTTGAGGTAACTTCGTAAACGAACCCAGTGAAACTAATAACCATTAAAAATTGATGCCACAAGAGATGAGATCAAAAGAAACATATAACTAACCAAACCGAAACAACTGTTATAAGTCAAAATATATAAAAAAATCAAAATAAAAATAATCACACAAACTCAACCAAGAACTAATAATAGAAAAGAGAGATGGGGACTGAGAGATGTTATAAAGGAGTCTCTCCAAGCAATCAAAATCAATCAACCAAGAATAGACTTTTTTGCTAAACTGATCTGAGTTAACTACTTTGGGGTAACTCAGCAATGGGTTAAACTACTTTGAAAAAAACATACCGTTGAGTTGAGCAATTTAGATCAAGCCAAAAAATATTTTCTCAAACCACAAAAGAGAATTCAAAGGCTACGGAGAAGATATACAGGAAGGAAACATAAAATGTCGTTACAGAGAGATTGGAAGAATCAAAAGGACACTTTAACAAAGAGGACATAAAACCTTGTCATCTCATGCCTGAGAAAAAAAGCAGGGGATTCTTCAGTTCTCATCCATAAGGCTTAGTCCCCTTGTCATTCTGTTTCACTACTTTTGTCACGACGAATCTATTTGGATGATTATGAAAGTGCAGTAATGTTCTGTGACGATTTAAAACAAATCTTTTATATATTCGATCTTGATAAGTCAATTCAAGATGTATGTTGGTGAATATAAGTTTGCTTGGATTGCCTGCCTCGACTAAATTTCATAGATAAGAAAAAGCTTAAAATACTATTTCCCATCATACATAAGAAAAAGCTTAAAAAAATGCTCGCACATGTCAAATCACCAATATCATTTTAACCGCATGTGTTCTGACAAGCATATTAAATGTTTAAACTTTTCGTTGAAGAATTCTGCACAAATTAAAAAATTTACCTGCATTGAGAAGCATGCAAATGTTCTCAAAAACATGCACATTCTCAAGGAGCTCATTCTGTCTATGAGATAAGATTTTAAATCCCATTTAATAAATATGTTCATCAATGTCCAAGCATCATATGAACTCATCAGAAATATCGAAGCATTGTATATGATCATAATTTAGAATAAGTTATGATTATTATTAAAACATTATCACAGCAAGAACAGTTTTGAGTAGAAGAACACATTTAATCATTGTAGCTAAAAAAAAATGACAATTAATACCACAAATATTTGAATCAAGCCTCTTTCAAATTTCTCGATGACCGATAAAATCACTAAGGAAAATAAATACCAGCATCATAGCGGCACGAACAGAAAGCAAGCCTTCTTTTTTGGACATATCAGCCGAAATCCCACCTAAAAATAGCATTGGACTATTTTAACCATTCTTAACCTTGAAACCTGTCATCAGTGATATTAAAGCTTTTCTACTTACCTGGTATTTCCTGATTAATGTATTCTGAATGTTCTGCTAGCATGTCATTAGAATAAGGGGTAGAGTCTGGGGATAATTTTGAAGATTTTACCCCAACTGGAAGACTAAAAATGCCCACATTATCATTCCTATTTGAACTAGTTGCAGAACATTTCTTGGCCCACAGCTGAGCAATGTAGAAGGCAGGACCGATCTCATGGCTACCATGCTTTGCCACCGCCATACCAAGTTCTTCTGCTTAAGAATCAGAAATGATAACAACTAATATTTTTTTGGGGCATTTATACCATTCAATTCTTATGTATTCACAAATTTAACACCTAAATTTACCTTTTACATCTATACCACACAAAATTTTCATATCACATATAAAATACCAAAAATTTCAATTTTTAAAAACTGAAATGCACCTTTTCATGAAAAGGTAACGTGACATGTATGTAATAATTGAGTTTTTGGTGTTAGATATATAAATACATAAGAATTGAGATGTATGCAGGTAAATCTTCCTTTTTCCATTAAAGTCTCATTCAAGCTACACATTAGTGCAAGCATCATACAGACCTCCAATAGTTTGGTCACCACATTTGCATAAAGGCATGTAGTTAGTTTCCGCTGGTTCAGCAACCTCTCCTGTAGTTTCAAGAGACAACACGCTGCAATAAATATGAAAGTAAATTAAACAAATTTTTCAAAGCACAAATTATGATAAAGCAGGACAAGAAGATCACACTTTAGGTATTCTAAGCTTACTTTCTTAACGTCGCATTTTCAAGTAAATCACAAAATGCATCCTGATTTGGAACGAGTTCTGATGAAGAGGGCACTGTAGTCGGATCCAAAACTGATTTACTCCTACCGGCGGGAGGGAGGAATGTATTGCCTAAAGAACCATTTGAAGGAGTGCCTCTTGTTTTCGTAGAATCTACTCTAAAACATCGGAAGAAGAATGGAAGGTTCTGGAGGATACCGTGTAAGAAACCTTTATCATGAGTAACAATTTTCTCTTTGTGACTTCTGATTGCAGGTATCATCAAAAGAGAAGATTAGTTGATCCTAATGATCTTTAAGTGCTAATATTAATGCAAAATAGGAAAAACATAATACCTAGACATCAAACAGAAAAACACTAAAATCCCTTTTTCTTTTTCAAATTCAAACAGAAAAGGAGAATGTGATTCAATGTTAACCCTGAGAAGAAGAGAAAAGTTTATTTCCAATTCACTTTCTCAAAGATGTCGTAAAACCATCCATTTTCAGTCACAAATCGAAATGAGAAATGTCGTGAGTTGATATTAGATTAATAACCAATGAAAATAATAAAATTAATACTAAAACTAATAAAAAGAATCTGAATTTAAAATTTTCTAAATCTAGAGTATTCTGTAAAAGAAAAGGGTCGCGATCTAATTTGATTGCGGTGAGAAGCATGCAAAAGCTTCCTAGAACTTCACCCTTAAGTGAAGTGTCAAAACTTGACGTTATTGTAGTTAAAAGGAGGCTAGGTTTGCAAAAATGAGAACAATGGCTAACAACTTAACATCAATTGTGAGAAAAGTTTATGCGGCCTAAAATTAAGATCAGATTTGAATATGACACTTAGGTAGAATAACAAGAATTAGAGGACAGATTGAATTGAATTAAAGTTGATATTATTTTCTTGCAAAAGAATCAAAGTTATTGGGCAAAATGTTAAGGTAATTAGAAAGATTAACAAAAGAAATATGATTGGTATGGTAGTAAATCAAGGGTTGAAAAATAAAATTGTTTAGGTGGAAATGGATCATAAAAGTACGATTTCTATTACGATAAATATCAGGAAGGAAATGGTTCGCAAAAGGCAACAGAAATAGTTTCAAGCAATGATTGAACCTCCTTCACAAAACAAATAGACCCAATCTAGCAATCTTAGCTCCACTTTGAGACTTAAGCCCTTTGACACCGAAGCATCCTATCCGTCTCTAGCGATCTTACATTACATTGAATCACAAAAATCCATATGGCCAACTAATCTTAAGCATACATGTCACTCCAACAATATGAACAATATTCAATAAAATCATAAATCATGTGTATATAATGTTATAAATATAATAGTAACAGTAAGTGCATTTGGTCGAGAATAAGCAAAATATCACTATAATATAAGAATATGAATACTCAAATCAAAATTGTATCACCTATCTTAAATCTTCAAAGTTGTTTAAACTTGTCTTAAATAGATAACCGCCTAAAATATCGTGAAAATATAATTTTAAGTATATCATTAATTGTCTATTTACTTATGCTACTTTAATTGTTGATTAAAAGATTTATTTTAAGTATTCATGTTACTTTAATTTAACCAACAAATCTAAAAATAAATCAACATTTATAAGTTTTATTAAAATTTTTTTTACTTCCTCTACTTTAAAATAAGAAATTTTAGACTTTCTTTTCATATTTTGAATAATTTTTTCATACTACTAACATTAAGATAAAAAATGGTATTGATATATATAATATATAATTTTATTAAAAATATAATCTTAATGACTCAGCTCAGCTTTGGCCCCCCACAAGCTCTTCCCCTTCCCTTTCTTCTTCTTCAGGTCAATTACATGGGATTGAGCATCTCTGCGCGAGATGCTTCTCTCGGTCTCGTCTCGTCCTCCTCTGCGCTCTCGATCATACCTATTTTCTACTATTCACAAGCTTGCTGGCTTGCCACGTCGTCACCCTTGCAGCTATCGATGCTGATTTTTTCCTTTGTTGGACGATTGAAGAGGTCATCCGTGGACGCCACCAACTTCGGCTATGAGGAAGCCCTAGCATGCGCTTTTCGATCTTCGCATGTGTCATTCAATCTTATCTTTGCCTCTCTCATACGCGTCACTTTAAAGGTCGAAAGTAATTTCTAAGTTCCTAATTGTTCGCTTCATTTCCCTCTCTTCTCCCTCAAGAAGTCGAAACGCGGCGTCATAAATCTTTTGATTAATTTTTGTGTCAAAATATAGTTTAGTATGCATGGACCTTATAAAATATAAAAATAATGCATATGGTGGATTATACATGCATCCATGCTTTCCAGACAAAAATGAGGGGGAGGATTCATGAGCTAAGAAGATGAGACTCATGTAAGGGTTGGTGCAAAGGAGAAGACATGACGATGATATGTGAAACAATGCAGAAGGGGACGGACCAAAAACTTTGTAGGAGAATAGGGAAATAAAGGAGGGTTTGGCTGGCTCAATAACTCCTTAAAGGCTTCAATCAGGCTCCAAGGCTACCATGGTCTTAAAAAAGGCTAAATTGATAAAATATTATCAACATTTTGGCCTTTCTTTACTATTGCTAGATAAATTAAAGGTAAAAAACTACACTAATTGATAATATGTAAGTTATAATAGATGCGAACATTATAATGTGTAAATCTAAAATTGATGAAAGCTGATCCGAGTATTTATAATCTGAGTATTTATTAGTCCAATGCCAAATAATATTGTTAATTGATGCATTCACTAAAATACATTGTCCAATTCAAACCATCATTCCTCAGTGCCAATCGATATCCACTGCATTTTTCATCAAGCACATAATTCCATGTAAGCAACCCTTTACAAAGTAAATGACCTAACTACTTGTCATTGTAGCCTAACATAATGTATCCTTCACTTTAACACATGAAAGTGCTGCATGAGTCAATTTTGCGTGATTTCACCCACTTTTAGTACTTCATTTTACCTGCTATTTTGCCTTATTTATTATGAATTTACAATTGTTGAAGTTTTTGTTGGTAATGTGCAGGTAACAGGATCGTACGTGCATTTTGGAACTAGAAAAACAAAATAAAAGCAATCAGAACTAGCGTGACCGCGCCTGGACTTGGTATAACCACACCCTTATATTGTAGGTAGCGGCGTGACCACGCTGCATGATTGCAAATTGGGCGTGAACACACCGGATTTTAGCATGACTACGCCAACAAAGCGGGAAATATTTTTGGAAAGAATTTTCTAGCCAAATATGAGAATTTGGTTATAAAAAGAGGTCTTATGACAACTTTGAGGAAGGAGGCATTGGAGACGACACGACAAAGAGTTTGAGGATTGGAGAGCTTCTCGCTTAGGATTTTTTTCCTCACTTGAGGTTGAGGTCTTAAGAGTTTTTTCTTCGGTTTTTCTTATTAATTTTGAGAGGAGATTGTATGAAAAAGAGATTTGCTATTGTGAAAGAGGAAACATATTATTTTGTAAGCTTTTTACTTTCAAGTTTTGTTGGCAACAATGGTTTTTCTAGATGTAATGTTCGTCATTCTTTCTATCATGAGTGATTAAGTTCTTTCTCGGATTGTTTTTTCCAGTAACGTTTTCTCGAGCTTTCATGTCAATGTTGTTGCGTTAACCATCGGATTTCATTTACTTAAGAACTGACCAATTAAAATGTTAACATATTTCATGATCTACAACTTATGTCCGTTGTGTAGAGGAACGGAATAGTTAGCCACAAAATTCAGGTAAGAATAGACATATTCTATCAGGATTTTGCAACCTAGAAAAGGGATCAGAATAATCCTGTAGAATGTCATGGGGGAATTAAACGAGCTTAGCTTTAAAGATTCTAGTTTTCTTTTGGTCTAGGCATAGGTGTAAGAATTGTTTATCACTATTGGCAGTCTAAAAATATCACAAACCACCACAATACCTGAATCAAAGAGGCGCGAGCCTCATCTCTCTTTAAGAATCGTAAGATTTCTCTGCTTGCTGGTTTCCTTTGTTTTTTAACCTCGTGATTTTTTGTTTCTCTTTTTGAGTATAATTCCAGAAACTTCATCTCTTATTTGTGATCACACTGAACTAGGCTTAAACATTTAGTAAACAGGAGATTCGACCTTCAGAAAATTTCTTAGCCCTTTCCTCATATGATCGATACGCGGTACTCTTTAACCGCATTTTTACTTAATACGTAAAATTGTGTAATTCACCGACTTCACGGAATGTTTTCGGCTATCATGTGCTAGCATGTATAACAATAAGAAGTAACTAGAAAGTTGTTCCAAATTGTATCCCATGAATAATAAAAAAAATTTGATCATATATGGCTGAAAGTATATGGTGAGGAAGGGCACTTTTAATGCAGAATCAAACCACAACAGCACTAATCAATGAACCTAGCCAAGGTGTGGTCGTATTAATGATGCATCAACTGTGTCAAATATATTTTTTGTATCCCTAATGCAAACAAGGATCTCAAAGCAGCAATTTCAAAAAATGATTAATTCTGAAAGTAACAATATTTGTAGCATGTTCAGATATAAGCGGATATTTCATGACTTGACTAGAACTTCTTCAAGTCACGTTTTGCTTAATGAACTTCTCATGTTCAGATATAAGCAGATTTTTCATGATCATGACTTGAACTTTTCATGCAGATTTTTCATCGGAGATGACTGGAGACAGAGTTTGAAGGATTGGAGAGCTTCTCCCTTAGGATTTTTTTCCTCACTTGAGGTTGAGGTCTAAAGAGTTCTTCAATTTTTCTTATTGATTTAGAGAGGAGATTGTATGAGAGAGAGATTTACTACTGTGAAAGAAAGAACAAATTATTGGTAAGTTTTTTACTTTCAAGTTTTGCTGGCAACAATAATTTTTTCTAGATATGATGCTCGTTATTTTTTCTATCATGAGTGACTAAGTTCTTTCTTGGATGGTTTTTCCAGTAACGTTTTCTCGAGCTTTCATGTCAACGTTGTTGTGTTTACCATATGATTTCATTTACTCATGATCTGACCAATTAAAATATTAACATATTTCGTGATTTACAACTTTTGCCCGTTGTGTAGAGGAACAAAATAGTTAACCACAAAATCTAGGTAAGAATCGACATACTCCATCAGGATTTTGCAGCCTAGAAAGAGGATCGAAATAACCATGTAGAATATCATGGGAATTAAAGGAGCTTAGCTTCATAGATTCTAGTCTTCTTTTGCTCTAGGCATAGGCATAAGAACTGTTTATCCATATTAACAACTATCACAATGGAGAAAGTCTAAAATTTCACAAACCATCACAATACTTGAATCACAAAGGCGCGAGCCTCATCTCTCTTTAAGAATCGTAAGATTCCTCTGCTTACTGATTTCCTTTGTTTTTTAGCCTCGTGATTTTTTGTTTCTCTTTTTGAGCAGGATTCGAGAAACATCATCTCTTATTTGTGATCAAACTGAACTAGGTTTAGACGTTTAGTAAACTGGTGATTCGACCTTCAGAAAATTACTTAGCTCTTTCCTCGTATGATCGATACGTGGTACTCTTTAACTGTATTATTAATTGATATGTATACTTGCGTAATTGACCAACTTATTTGATGGAATGCTTTCGGCTATCATGTGCTAGCATGTATAACAATAAAAAGTTACTAGAAAGTTGTTCCAAATTGTATCCCATGAATAATAATAAAAAATTGATCATATATGACTGAAAGTATATGGTGGGGAAGGGCACTTTTAAGCAGAATCAAACCACAACAACACAAATCAATGAGCCTAGCCATGGTCGTATTAATGATGCATCAACTGTGTCAAATATATTTTTTGTATCCCTAATGCAAACAAGGATCTCAAAGCAGCAATTTCAAAAAATGATTAATTCTGAAAGTAACAATATTTGTAGCATGTTCAGATATAAGCAGATTTTTCATGACTTGAACTTCTTCAAAAGCTTTTCTCACTTACCCCAAAATCAATAGCGCTACTACAACAAGTTTTGGCTCTAGATTTGGTTCACGCACTTTTGAATATATAATATCTCCAGTAGAGCTTGTGATCCAACGAAAGCTAGAAATTATTTGTGGAATGTCGCTCTCACCAACATTGCACGCACTTGTAAGAACAATGATAGCCAACCCGTTTAAATCCTATGAACCAATAAAGCTATCATATTCATGAGTAAAGTAAGAACGAATGCATTAAGACAATCAATATAACATGACATAAAAAGAATGATGAAGCTCCAATTAGTATTCAAACAAGAATAATTCTCCTCAAAAAAACCTGAATTGCATTAACTGTCACGTCACCACAATGTTGGCAGCTAACATGACTATATTTTTGCTACTACTCTTCTACCTGATGAATGGCTCAATCAAAATACCTTATTTTTGATGTACACAAAAAAGTCTTAAAAAAACATGAAATATAAATAAGAATTCACTTAACAGATGTTTATTATAATTGTCTAAACAAAATCATGGAAAGCCACATAAACAACGATCTGTTTATTTGTGCAGAACAACTTATTTTTTTATTTTGCGTTAAGTTATTAGAAAGAGTGCATTTGAGGACAAGCAAAGTTGGATTCACCTAACATAACTAGATTTGTGAACAGATTCCACGTCAACTCCATAGATAAGGAGCTCAATATTACTTTTCTGGAAAATTGGAAGATTACTAATCAAAAGGAAAATAAATCCGTACAGCAGCAAGATATCACAGATGTATATCAAAAAACTTAATGATAAGTTTCAAAAATTAATAAACATAGATGATGATTATGATGATGATTATCAATTACAAATTTAGTATTATAGATGATATACTGCAACAAATTCACTAATTCGTGCAAAAAAATTCGAAGTTCTACTCAAAAAGAATAATGTTTACTACAAAATATATGATTATGTACCAATGTAAATAGAGAATTGCTATGGCTGATCAGAAATCAGTCCAAGTGAGACCGGTTGGGAATCAGCCAACCAGCCGCCACTGCCCTCTAAGGATCGAGCGATGCAGCAGGGAGGATTGTTTCGGCGGGAAGCGGTGCAGCAAGGTCCAGTGAAACCGGGGAG